AAGCCATAGGGAGCTATATTTCTCACAACCATATCCAGCACCACTCACTCCTGACTCTGTGTATCAACCATACTGACCTTTATTTTTCCAACATGACCTATTTCCTCCAGCATCAAGACCTCAAACAAACTTTACTCTCTGCCTGTTGAGAATCTGAATAAACAAATGGACAATGACTGAATCATGAAAGCATATATAAACTCAACCCACCATCTACAGCAACCAACCCATCATCTACAGTAACCAGTCTGGGAAATTAGCCTGCTATAAATCAGACCTACACCAAGTCAGAGTGCTATTTCTAGCAACAATCCAGGAAGTCAAGTAATAATCCCTTTTTTGATCAGTGCAAAGTGTTCAGGACTTGATTAATGACTGGAAGTTTTCCTAATTTTGTCTATACTTAGAACCACCAGAGGATTAGATCCATCACACAGGATGTCCTGATTCTCATTAGCTTTCTGTCTTAGTTCTTTTTCTGTTGCTCTAACACAATAACGCACACTGTAATTTATGAAGAACATGTTTATTTGGTTCATTGTTCTTGAGGTTGGGAAGTCCAAGAGCATGGTACTAGTATCTGTTGGCATCTGGTGAGGGCCTTATTTCTGGTGAGGGAATCCCATGGCAAGTTGGAGCAATGATGTTAGCTTGGGTCTTTCTTCCTCTCCCCCTTTTTTTTTCCAGTATTGGGGTTTGAACTCAAAGCCTACACCTTGAGCCACTCCACCAGCCCTTTTTGTGTTGGTTTTTTCAAGATAGGGTCTCACGAACTATGTTGCTGGGCTGGCTTCGAACCTCGATCCTCCTGATCTCTGCCTCCTGAGTAGCTACGATTACAGGTGTGAGCCACTGGCGCCCAGCTACTCTTCCTCTTCTTATAAAGTCACTAATGTCACCATGAGGGCCCCACCCTTATGACCTCATCTTATTCTAATTACCTCCCACAAGGTCCCACTTCCAAATGTTACTGAGACCTCAATTTGAGACCAAGTTTCCAACATACGAATTTTGGGGAGACACATTCAAACCATAGCACCCACATACAGATTCCCCTATGCTAATGGCCTCCAATCAAAGCCTATCTGACGACTTCCTTTTTCCATTATAAATCCCTCCCAATCCTCTGCATGTTTTTGATCTCTGCCAAAATATAAGTGGTAGAAATTTTCAATGGTTCCAGATCATGATGTCATTGTATCAAGTATTTCTTATATTCAGTTCCTAGTTAATTTACTTTTGACAAGTCTATATAACTGATGGAAGATGAAATCCTCATCTTCAAGAAAAAGATTAAAATAATAAAATAAAATTATTTAAACTTTTAGAAAAATATATAAGTGATGGTGGGGGTGGATGAAGGTCAGTGGTAGAGTGCTCGACTACAAGCACAAACCTCTGGGTTCCATCCCCAGCATCACCAAGAAAAGTTTTGGATCAGGTGTGGTAGTGCACTTTATAATTCCAGCACTTGGGAGTCAGAGGCAGGAAGATCACGAGTAGAAAGCTACATAATGAGTTCCAGGCCATCCTGACCTAGTGAGCCCTGTGTCATAGAAAATGATCTTTGTAGTGGTCAAACACAAGAAATTCCTGTGGGAAACTAATGTTTCATTCATTTGGAGTCAGATACATCTAGGCTAGACTTGTCTCTTTCTCTTTGGGAGAAAGGCACAGTTGTAATACTTAACCACTGTTCATGTTAAATTTTCCCAAAAAAGCAGAAAAATATTGTAAGAATTAAATGGGGAAAACGTATCTAACACGATTACCTGGGATTGAAAAATTCAGAGTTCCACAAGTGATACTTACGGTGCTATTCGTCAATTTAAAACAAAACAAAACACTACTATGGGTGCATAAAAGTTAACTCTCATTAGCTAGACGAGAAAACAGAATGTAAGACCCCAAAAGACTTGAGAACCACTTCTGCCCGGAACTAAACTCACAGCGTGCACTACCTCCCCGGAGCTTTAACCTTGGTGAACGGAGGAAGTTCGCTCCTGCGCAGTCCCACCCCTTTACCCCACCGCCAGCTCTGCAAAGCGCCAAAGGTGTGTACTTCTGCGCCTGCGCCGTGGCCTAGTACGGGCGCACGCTCGGGTGGAGACCCGCTAGATTGAAGGCCATGGCGTGGGTACCAGCGGAGTCTGCAGTGGAGGAGTTGATGCCCCGGCTGTTGCCGGTGGAGCCCTGCGACTTGACTGAAGGTTTCGACCCCTCGGTACCTCCTAGGACGCCTCAGGAATACCTGAGGCGGGTCCAGTGAGTGATGTGGCCCCGTGCGGGTGGGCTGGTCGTTCGCTCCGCCCTTGGGGACAGCACCTGGTGCCGCGCTTTCCCTGTGTACGGTGAACACACTCCCGTCCTAATCTCTCGCGAGAATGGGTCTGCTCGGGATCTCTGGGTCGCATCCTGACGTGGGCGAGTCTGTGAACTTGACCGCAGACATCAACTTGTGTGCTCTTAGCTGTCTTTGCCGATAACCCAAATAATTGCAGACCTTGTTTAGTTCCTCAACTGGAATTTTATTTCCGATTTCATAATGAACTATACAATGGATCGCTTGTTTTACAAAACATGAGCAAAGGACAACAGTAATTAAATTTCTCGTATTTATCACTTATTTGTAGGATCGAAGCAGCTCAGTGTCCAGATGTTGTGGTAGCTCAAATTGACCCAAAGAAGTTGAAAAGGAAGCAAAGTGTGAATGTTTCTGTGAGTTTTGTTAACCGTTTGGTGATACCCCAATCACACACAAAGGACTAAGGTTCTTACAGTTTCCAACAGTATTAGTTATTTTGGTTATTCCCTAGAGAGGTAGACATTTGTTTATATTTTTTCCTTCATAAGGACAATGACATTTATTTCCTCCAAAGAAGCTTTGGTCACCCTAATATTTGTGGACACTTGCACATCTTACTTAGGAACATCCAGTCCAGTCTTTCAAGTGGTTATGTACTCTATCCTTTACAAAAATAAAGGAAACTTTGTGATTCTAGTTTGATAATTGTTATTATTGGGCTGGTGATTAATTTAGTTTGCATGTTCTGAATTTTACATGGTATAATTTTTTTTTTTTTCAGAACTGGGGTTTGAACTTCATGCTTGCTAGGCAGGCGCTCTACTGCTTGACCCACACCCCTCAGCCATAGCGTGGTATAATTTTAACAATAGAAACCCAAATGTCTTCAACACCTTTCTGGCTACTTGCAAATTGCAGACTTATTCATTTTTCCAGCATACTTTATTGAGCAACTAGATTGTGTCTGGCATTAGACTTGAAGAGTTAACATTCTCCTGAAGAGCACAGAAAGTAAACAAGCAAACAAATTAAATAATGCATACTGTGAATGTTGCCATGTAGAAAATAAACACATAATGATTAGTATATAAAAAGGAGAACAGTTTTAGATAGAGTGGTTGCAGAAGATCTCTTTGAGGAGATTTTATTTAACCTGGGTGGCATTTAAATTTTTTTTAATTTCCTTTTTATGTTCAAAGTAATTCCTTTAATATATGCAGTCAGGAAATTTTAATTCAGACACTAATGCTTTATAGTTCTTAAAAAATTTTTACTTGATGAAACATATATACCTAGTTATTAAAAATATGACTTCCCTAAGTTATGAGGCAAGACCTGATTGGTTGTGAACTTTGTGGTGTTTTGGAAAACCAAAGTAAGACTGGGGATGAAACTCAATGGTAGAGCACTTGCTAGTATGTATTTAGCCCTGGGTTCAACCCTCAGCAGCCCCCCAAAAAAGTAAAAAGAAAAATCAGAAGTAGACCTTTTCAAGTCAAATATCTTTCAGTTATTTGGGTACATTTTGCCCATCCCCAAATTCTTTATTTGGGAGTATAGCACTTGTTTTTGTTTCTGTTTTGCAATTATAGAAAACTAGGACTAGATTTTATCTTCAGGGTTGATGTCATTTAGATTTCTTAGGAACTCCAGCTATAACCAATTCCAGGTTTCTCTTGTTAAAGTGGCTAAAGACTTTTTCTAGCATTTTTAACCTGGAAATAAATACTAATATGAAATGCCTACTTGTACACATGTAAAAAATCCTTTTTTCCTTATATAGTCTTATTTTATTATTCAGTCTTCATCTTGGTTTTATTCTGTGAAGGTGTAAGATCCAGTTGTAACACTCAGGTTGATTCTAACATTTGTGAACTGATTTCTAGCTTTCGGGATGCCAACCTGCCCCTGAAGGTTATTCCCCAACCCTTCAATGGCAACAGCAACAAGTGGCACAGTTTTCAGCTGTTCGACAGGTAAGTGTCAAGTGCAATCAAATTAAACCTTCAGATTTGTTTCTGTTCTTAGACTGTAATTGAAAAAATCAAAATGTATGATTCTAAAGTATACAAAATGTGAATTAATTACAATGATTGTTATAATCATTAGGCATAGTACAGTTTGTAACATATTTTCCAAGTTTTAGGATTGTTAGAATTTTGTGTAGAAACTGATTTAGTTGTTTATCCTGTGAAGATCACTGTCTTAATTTTTTTCCTTTAGAGTGTGAACAAACATAGAAGTCACTGGAAATCACAACAGTTGGATAGTAATGTTACTATGGTATGTAAGTTTCCAGGTTTAAGTTGTACAATGTATACCATGTGAAATAGTTCTGTTTACTTCCAGTCTTTAAAAATTCACTTACTTAGTCATATTGTTTTCATTTTCTTCCACATACCATTACATCATAGTACCAATTCTATTATAGTTGTAGCCTGAAAGCATAGAATCAGCGCAAATGACTATTTTAATCTGCTATATCTGAAGAGACTTTGGATAAGTGAGAGAAATGTGAAAGTTGTTAGTATCAAAATGGTCAACTCTTGCCAAGCACAATGACTCATGCCTCTAATCCTAGCTACTCAGGAGGCAGAGATTAGGAGGATCAAGGTTCAAAGCCAGCTCGGGCAAATAGTTCAAGAGACCCCCATCTAGAAAAACCCTTTGCAAAAATAGGGCTGGTGGTGTGTCTCAAGGTGAAGGTCCTGAGTTCAAGCCCCAGTATTGCAAAAAAAAAAAAAGTTAACTCTTGCTGGATGCTGATGGCTCTGCCTATAATCTTAGCTACTTGGGAGGCTGAGGATCATGGTTTGAGGCCAGCCTGGGCAAATAGTTTTTGAGGCCCATCTCCAAAATAATGAGAGAAAAATGAACTAGAGGTGTGGCTCAAGTGGTAGAATGCCTGCTTTGCAAGTGCAAAGCCCTGAGTCAAACCCTAAAACCCAGACCCACCAAAAAAAAAAAAAAAAAAGA